TTGGGAGTCAACGTAAGTGCAGAGTTACCAGGAGGAATGGTAACGTGGGATTTAGACTCGTCACGGTGACCAAAATTGGTTTCAGTATCGTGAACGGAAGCCGCTGTTGATGCGGCGTCGCCGTCAGAGTCATCAGAATTGAGGGCATTGGTAACAGCTTCTGAGGTAATTGGAAGCGGGCCAGGAGTGACAGCTTCCTTTGCCATCGACATTGGAGTGTCCGGAGGATTGGACAATTTTTGTCTCTTCTTTGGTTGTGGGTCAATAGTTGAAGAGACCCGTTGCTTGGAACGAACCGGAACTGGGATTGTGGTCCGAGATATTCCACGTCCAGGTATAATGCTAGATGGATTTCCTGGATTCGGATCGGGATCCGACATACACACACACAACTCTCACATACAATAACTTCAGACACACAAACTTAACATACAAAAACTTCACACACACTTAACATACAATAACTTCACTCACACTCACATACAATAACTTCACGCACACACAAACTTAACATACAATAACTTTACGCCGCGGCACTTTGGGTGGCAGGCGTGGCACAATCTCACATCCACCTTCGTTTCGCGTGGCAGGCGTGGCACAATCTCACATCCACCATCGTTTCGCGTGGCAGGTGTGGCACTCATGGCACTGGGTGGCGCGCTTGGACTGGCTTGGTCGCCCGTGACGCCCGTGACGCCGCGGCACTTTGCGTGGCAGGCGTGGCACAACCGCACATTCACCTTCGTTTCGCGTGGCAGGCGTGGCGCAGTCTCACATTCACCTTCGTTTCGCGTGGCAGGCGTGGCACTCATGGCACTGGGTGGCGCGCTTGGACTGGCTTGGTCGCCCGTGACGCCCGTGACGCCGCGCCACTTTGCAGGCGTGGCGCAATCTCACATCCATCTTCGTTTTGCGTGGCAGGCGTGGCGCAATCTCACATCCACCTTCGTTTCGCGTGGCAGGCGTGGCACTCATGGCACTGGGTGGCGCGCTTGGACTGGCTTGGTCGCCCGTGACGCCCGTGACGCCGCGCCACTTTGCGTGGCAGGCGTGGCACAACGGCACATCCACCTTCGTTTCGCGTGGCAGGCGTGGCGCAATCTCACATCCACCTTCGTTTCGCGTGGCAGGCGTGGCACTGATGGCACTGGGTGGCGCGCTTGGACTGGCTTGGTCGCCCGTGACGCCCGTGACGCCGCGCCACTTTGCGTGGCAGGCGTGGCACATGTGCACATCCATCTTGTTTTGCGTGGCAGGCGTGGCACAACCTCACATCCATGTTCGTTTTGTGTGGCAGGCGTGGCACAGTCTCACATCCACCTTCGTTTCGCGTGGCAGGCATGGCACTCATGGCACTGGGTGGCGCGCTTGGACTGGCTTGGTCGCCCGTGACGCCCGTGACGCCGCGGCACTTTGCGTGGCAGGCGTGGCACAACCGCACATCCACCTTCGTTTCGCGTGGCAGGCGTGGCACAATCTTTCACCATCGGTTCGCGTGGCAGGCGTGGCACTCATGGCGCCGGGTGGCGCGCTTGGACTGGCTTGGTCGCCCGTGACGCCCGTGACGCCGCGGCACTTTGCGTGGCAGGCATGGCACAACCTCACATCCACCTTCGTTTTGCATGGCAGGCGTGGCACAATCTCGCATCCACCATCGTTTCGCGTGGCAGGCGTGGCACTCATGGCACTCGGTGGCGCGCTTGGACTGGCTTGGTCGCCCGTGACGCCCGTGACGCCGCGGCACTTTGCGTGGCAGGCGTGGCACAACCGCACATCCACCTTCGTTTCGCGTGGCAGGCGTGGCGCAATCTCACATCCACCATCGTTTCGCATGGCAGGCGTGGCACTCATGGCACTGGGTGGCGCGCTTGGACTGGCTTGGTCGCCCGTGACGCCCGTGACGCCGCGGCACTTTGCGTGGCAGGCGTGGCACAACCTCACATCCACCTTCGTTTTGCGTGGCAGGCGTGGCACAAGTCAGATCCACCATTGTTTCGCGTGGCAGGAAGAAACTGTGACTGTGTCGCGAGAAGATGCTGCCTGATGTCAGCACTCCGAGGCTTCGCATTGTTGATGGATGTTTGTTCGCAGACGAGGGAATGTACCACAAACTGTGATATGTTGCAGACGAAAGTTGACTGATGCCTGTCTGACATATGATGTGGACTGTTTGTGTCTGGTCTGGACCATTTGAACTATTCGATTGCTTGCATGGACCAATATGGTGGAACTAGTAAGATTTCATTGGTTGCCGCTCTCATGTAGTAACAAGATCGCACGCATGAAGCCTCTGTGTGTTTGCTACTGGCTCAGGTGCCCATCCAGTGAGCTTCTTGGACGGAGGACAGGCGCGTGTCGCACGACCCGACAATGAGTCAACGAGTCTATGTCCTCGGGAGCAAGAGCTTTGACCCAATGTGGGAAGAAGCGTATGCAGATGCATCGCGAACCGACACCTATTTGAATTGTATTTGACGCCTGTGTGTTTCTGAAATTTGTGGTTGGTTGACATATTTGAAAAAAAAAACTGCACAGTTAGCGTCATAACCATGGTGCTTGCCACTGTGACTGTGTCGTGACTTGACAGGCATGCGCTCTGTACTTGTCTTCCATAGTTGCATTGACAACCAGCTACATTCGTGTTCTACACTTTTGCGGCCAGGTACCTTTCCTCTATGTCATCATCGTCGGATTCGTGGCTGTAGGAAAGGCGTGGTTGTCACGTAGCACATCTCGTTGCACCACATGGAGCACAGAAGCTCATGGAACACCTCATTCAGCCCATTCCAGGTCCGCAGTGCTGCCGCATGCAGAGCAGATGACATTGCAGCGCTGGCAAAAAAATGTCTGCACTGTCGCGCGCTCACGTCACTTTCACACACACCATCTTTCACGCGCAACTTTGTCACACACACGCACATACACACACACATACACACACACACATACGTACGTACGTATGTACGTACATACATACGTACGTACGTACGTACATACATAAATACATACATACATAGTGACATACATAGTGACATACATACATACATACATACATACATACACACGTACATGCATACTATTTTTTCGTATACTTTCACACACAGTCTTTCACCACCTCCTTTGTGTTTCCTTCCTTCCCCGTCCCCGCTACAACCTTTGAAACTCAGTATTGGAAGAAAATGACTTGTGGGGTTATCCGGTCCTTTAATTGGTTATTCTGCTTTTGCAGTGGAAGATGTGCGGAGTGAACCGTGTGGAGGTTATTCCATTGCAAGCAGCCCGCTGATGCACCCGAACAAAATTCGGCTTTGTGTCGTCCTGGTGGATTGGACTGTGGAGAGCACCGAAGAGCTTCGCTTGGTAGGACCCAGTTGTTTTGCAGTTTGCAGCAACTTGCAGTGGAAAAGTGTGATTGTGTATGATTGTGTATGATTGGTCAATGATATGCCATAATCATGAGGGGCAGAAAAATTGGCGAATGTCTTGGCGAATTTGCAGGCTACATGCGACAGCAAAACACTGGAACGATGATGATGACGTGCAGTGCGCCAAAGCGCCATTGTCCTGCCCAAGGACGGGATGACTGGATGCCCCTGAAAGTTGAGGTCTGCCAGTGGAAACTTCACATCATTTTTATTTGCAGATTAATCAAACTGGGAGTCGCGTGGCTGATTTTCACTCAATTGAAACTTAGAACTTAGATGAACTTAGAATATGAAACTGAGACCATTCCAATGCGTTGGGCAGTTTTCGCGGTTGCAAAGGAACCCACTTCCGCTTGTTGCAAAGGATCCTGTGAAACCAGTGATCATGGCTGGTATGGGCACTGGTTTGGCTCGTTGGAGAGCTGTGACGCAGGATGTGACGAAAATGCGCCTGGGTACCCTTTGGTGATCAAACCTGGCCGGCCGGGAAATCCCCCATAAATGGAGGTTGTAATGAGAATTTCAGGTACAAATTGGGCATTTTCCATTGCCATGTTTCATTACCAGAGGGTAGAGGATTAGGAGGGCAATTCCTGTTTGTACAGCCTGACAAGCCGATTAAACATCAGATTCTATCTGGGCCAGTGTTTTGTAGCTTGAAATCTTTGACAGCGTCCTTATTTTCGTTTCACTGTGGTTCATTTTGACATTTTCCATTGAGAATTCTAAAGCCCTGGTTTCAAACTTGCAGCCGAAGCACTCGCTTCGTCAGGAGCGAATCTGCCAACACAGACAGGGCCAGAAGGTGGGCCCTTGCCATCTCTTCTTTGGGGCCCGCTACAATGCAGCAACTTGGACCACCGTTGCAGCTGTACACTGTAACGTAGATAGTAGGCCGGTAGGCTAATGGCGCGTGTGGTTGGTTGAATAACAGTCGGGCTGAATATTGTTGGTTCGGTTTGTGTCTATTACAGTACCTGAAGATTGGACATACCGTGCCGTTGTTCTGGCAGGAATATCTCTACCGTCTACCGTCATGAATTTGAAGGCTATGTTACGGAGGGCATCCGCCTTCTCTCGTGAACAGGCAGACAGGGAATTGCATGGAATTGCTGGGTCTGGGAGGAAATTGATTGTGGCTTTGGATTACCTTTGATCCTGGAAATGTGTGAGAGATTTCCCCTCTTTCTGTTGGCAGTTGTGTTGGCCCTGGCCCGTGCACTCTGCTTCTTGTTCTCTCAAACTCAAATATAAAAACGAAACCGTACATGCGCACTTGCACAAACGCCACTGGTTGCTTGCCCCTTTGGCGCTGCTGTTATATAGGCTCGCAAGATCTACGTGCAGCACAAGATCGTGGAGGCAACAGCCAGTGCATCATGTGCGTCAGGGATGGTCCAAGATTGAGAATGAAGGGGATAAAGGATTGTCCGACAATGGTTTCGCCATCCACATGCATGTGAAGTGCTTCTGACAATGTCATCATGTTTGATAGGCTGGCAGAAGCAGGGCCACTTCTACGTTTGCGGTTCTGCAAGGCAAGTGCCTGAGGACATCTACACAGCGATGAAAGAGGCCATGGATGATGCCAAGACTCCGTGAATCTTTCTGGTTTTGTGAACATTTTTTCTCTCAAATACCCGATATCGCGGAATAGCATCAGTCCATCGTTGCAAACACACATAGATACATGCGATTACATATGCACAATGATGTGTATATACTTTATATAATTATATTTAATATTCGTATATATTCCAAGTGCACATAGGTTTAATATGATGAGTCTCATGTGAAACATGATACCACCTTATTTTTATAAATAATGCAGGAGTGAACCTTTTGGGAACGTCTCCACACTTCAACACATTCATGAACTGCGGCATTTTCGTTTTCAAGCTTCGAGTGCAGCACCTAGCAAGTGCTAGGAACGATTTTCCATGGACTCGACATGTTTCAGTAATGTTACAATCAACATGCGACACAGTCCATGGGGTCACCACTTTGCCGCCTGCGGACCTCATCGACTTCTTCGGCCGACAGGCCAACTACATACGCCATCTGGAAGAACGATTGTCCAAAGTGCAAGAAGATTTGGCACGCACGAGATCTCGAGTGGGCTTGATCATGGAATACCTCGCGGCCAAGTTTGGTGACGCTGCAGCAAAAATTCGACTCATCTTGCCTCCGTAGCTGTGCCGACCTTCGGTCTGGCTTTTGATTTTTGGCAGGCCTTGGAGACACTGGCCTGCTGCTGACATCTGCAGCTACTTAAAGCACATGCCTGTGCTTCTTTCAAGGATGCTTTTTGGCCTAGCTGCATCGACCTTTGGAACTCATTAAAAGTTACCTGTTTCGGGGGGTTTAGCCGCGTGACTGTCTGAAGGTTGAGAGTCATGTTGTGGATCAAGCTTGAAAGCATGTCCAATTCCTTGTGCAGTGCAAGTGCACCATTTCAGAACAGTTCATGTGGTCATCTTAATGAACTCCGATGTGGGCCGGTTTCGTCCGAATGCCCTCAATTTTGGCCAAGAACCCAGAGGGATGTCGTGTGACAAGCCATGCAAGTCAGATGTCACATGATTCTGATGCATGTGGCCAATGTTGACCGTTATACCCTTCTCTCTCAGGCCCGAGACCCCGTCGAATCTTCTTTGGTTAGAGGCCAGTGTCACAGCTTGGTTGTGAGTTGTGAGCAATCGGAGTGTGGTAAGTCAGCATCAGCACTGTCAGGTGACAGGAGCTGGCTTTGATTTGGGTCCTGTGTTAGGCGGGGTCCCAACAAGTTATAGTGAACTTGACAAGTGTCAGGAGTGGACTGAGTACACGTTTGCGTGATAACAGGGGCATGAAACTGAAGTCTGACGGGCCTAGACTGAGCCATCTCGTCAGGAACCTTGAGTACCTTCTTTGTGACGGCTTGAGTGAGACGTCCGGTTCCCGGTAATGAAAGGGTTTTCATAATGAGAACAAATGCATGTTTGAACATTGCTGAGAGCAAGTACTCTTATGGGTTATTTTAGATTGTGATACCTCAGCTCGAGGGCAGGAGTGGCCATCCAGATGGTTCTTTTCCGGAATGTTTCACTGCGTCTGATTCCTGGAGTGCGAGCGCACGTTTGATCGCAATTTGTTCAAGATAATTCACATGTTTTGTGAGTGTGACGTAAGATCCATACTGGGTGTTGGAACGTAGAACATATGACATATTTCTTGTCATGCTTTGTGGAGGGTGATCGTTTGCACAGGTCTCCGAACTCTTCAGGCAGTGATTGCAGTATCGTTCCGGGCCTGCTCGACGTATGTTTTCGCAGTCGAAGAGGTTGTATGAGAGTGAGGCAGATAGGGATGATGAGTCCATCAAGTCCGAAAGCGTCCGACTCCCTCCCACAGAGGGATTAGACCGCACCACAGGTTTTGAAGTAGCACCCGAAGATTTGACAGGTGCTTGGGGTGATGTGGATGAACCGGATTCGAGCTATCTTGAACCCAGTGTTAGTTCCGAGGTCCGGTCAGAGAAAACCCAAGAGCTAGATCCTGTTTCCGAAAGAAATCTCCGCTCCATGATTGGAGACAGCTGCCTCGGTGTACAGCCCACGGTAAAGTTTAAGTTCCTTGGGAACGTTCCGGGATATCCCAGGCTCTTCAAAGAGGGAAAAAGCTGTTGATCTCAGTGCTCGTTATGCAGTTCGTGAGTCATCCGACAACCATGTCATCGGGCAGTGCTGGGTCGGTCCTCTTACCTAGCGACAAAACTAGGAGGGGTGCCTTCAGTGAAGTCATTAATTTCAAAGTAACCATCACCCAGCATGACCTAGAGGATAAGGCCGTTAGACAAGCTCTTGAAAAGTGGTACCTGATCTTTTCTTCGCCTGAAGATGCCTGGCCGAAGGGGTTCAATCTGAGAGATGCCATCAAAAGCCATGACCTTGAGAGTATGAAGATAGAGTTTGGCAACAGAAGTTCAAGCACAATTCTCAGGAGAGGGACAAGCAGTTTACAGTTCTTCAGGTGGTATAAAATTTAAAAGCAGGTACTTCCATCTCTGTCCTTTCCCTGCAACATCGGAATCGGTGGAGGAATACTTGCAACACCCCGGGAAAGAATGTAAACCTGCTTCGACTATGCACGGCTTTGTTGAAGGTTTGAGTTTCTGCAGACATTTCCTTGGAATGAATGTGAGTGCTGGCGAAGAGCTAGTGACACAGAAAAAAAGTTTGAGAATCCTAGGCGTCAGTGATGCGCATCGGACAGAGAAGACCCAGGACTGGAGACATGCCTTTCAAATGAGCAGATTAGCTTGGTGGATCGAGTTGCCTGTGGATGCATGTTGTTTGCCTTTATAGCAGGAGTAGATGGTCTGATCTCAAGAAGGTGTTTTGCTTTCCAAGCCGACGTCACTGATAGTCAAGGAAAGACATCCGGGTACTTAGAGTGCCGCACGAGGTCGCGCAAAACAGCTCGTGTTGTGGCAAAAAGCGGGTTGGCCATGCCCTTGGTAGCACCTGTGTGGGGTGTCTGGTCGCCGCCGTGGGGACTCACTTTCATGAAATTGTGCGAAAGATCTGGCAGGGCCCTTCATGAAATGGACATGGCACCGATGGGACTGCACACACACCTGATAGGAGTTGGACTGACAGATCAGTCACGACATCCGAGGCGGGGAGGTGGCTCAGAAAAATGCTGAGCAGTTTTGACTTGGCAGCCGAATATACCACAGTGCACTTTGACAGGAACGCCTCTTTCGTGGTGCGCTAAGTGGGGCCTCGACCCGTACGTCAGGCAACTCCTGGGTCACCACCCGACCGGCAAATCATCAGCTGAGTGTTATGGCCGTGACAATCTTGCGAAGCCCTTGAGAGAATGTGAGAAAATAATCATCTGATGCTCATGACCCTGTAGCAGCTCCCAGACATCCAGACACCGCCATGTACCGCAATCGTACAAGTAAGATTGTGCATGTTGTGGCTGCAGGCGGCAGTTGTAGGGTCCATATCCAAACTTCCACGCTCTTGGACATCCGTAAATGCAAGCGATGTGCTGCAGCGAAGCCCATTAAGACGGCGGGCCAGTTCGCATCGGCGCTGAAGAAGCTGCGCCTTGGAGAGTGAAAAGAAGCGTTGAGGCGGGATCATTGGTTTCTGTAGATCGAGTGATCGTGAGACCAGTTGACCAGAGATTCCATCTTAAACACAAGTAAGTAAGCTGCGGTCTCTGATCATTGTCATGACATGTCTGGAGGGGAGATCAAAAATAGCAGGGTTGGAACAAAGATTTTGCTGGCATGCCCGAGTAGGCGTATACCGGTGATCATGTATGAGATTTTCTCAAGTGAGAAATCGGTCAATCTGTGATCCCGCAGCTCTGGGCCGAGTGGCTCTCTAATTAACATACATTAATTTTTTGAAAATGGCATTATATAATCAGACAGAAATCCAAGACAAAGTCTGTCTCATCACAGTCGCGACCTTAATTTGGCACGTCTCATCACTTCAGGTAGGCATTAATATTGGCACTCGAGATATAGACAACTTTAATCAGCTAGTTTTTCATCTATGACAGGACTCAGGGACGTGAAGCCATGGGAACGCTTCTGGAATCTAAAGAGGCGATCAGAGCTGAGGCTGAAGCAGATGCCTTGATAGCCAACAGAGTAGACTCGCTGGCCCGCTTGGCCTTTGTGGCGTGTCCACCTGGTGAAGCTCCAACAGACGCTCAGATCGGGGCTCTTTTTGGTGACAGAGTAGTGCCAACCAAGGGACATACGCCTCGGTCAAGCGATTGATCTTCGAAGCCCAGAAGCTCTTGTCAGCAGACCTTCAAAACAAGGTGCACAAGACTTATGATCAGGTCAAAACCAAACTGGCACCGGCTGAAAGGGACAATCGCATCAAAGATCAGAAAGCTCGCTTGGAACGACTCCGGTTCAAGGGGCAAGAGGAATGCAGCTACCAGAGCTATGACGTTGTTCTCAGCATGATGGAGCAAGACACGCTCTTGCATCTGTCCCCGGACAAATTTCCTACCAGGAGACAGGAGCTGGTGCAGAAGAAAGCAACTAAAGAGGTGTCAATCGATCAATCTGCACTCGTGATCAAGGATCGGGCCCAAGAGTTGCTGTGCCCCACCGCAACAGAGCTGGAGACAGTCAACGCAATGAAGAGAAGGGCGTTGGCCTTTGATGTAGTGCAAGCATGCAGCTTCCACTCCATGAACTCATACCATGCCGATCTCTTTGACTATACCTTCATCAAGCGCCTCCACCTGGCTATTCTTTGGTGAGTTTGACCCAGGTGCTACGTGCAGATCGAGCAGCTTTTTCTGGATGTCCGAAAGACTGACCACTTTCAAAATAAGCAGGACGTCGTTGCTGAAGACGTTTAGACTTTATTTTGAAGGGACAGGCCTTATTCAGTAGGAACATTTTCTCCAAATTTCTACATGAGCTCAAGGAAATTGAATCTTCTTGATTATCCTGATCACGCTGTGATAGTGGCGGTACTCGTACATGAATTCCGGATTCCCAAATGTGAGTGGACTATTAGACTGGAACTATCGCTGGGATTGGGCACTCC